AATTCCTTCCTTTCTTCCTTCCTTCATTCCTTCTCTTTCTCACCCCCATAGCCAATCCTCCTGCTTGCTTGAATCATTGTTTCGCTCTTGGATGCGGATTATACCTGCCGGCGCAACAATATCTTCCAGCCGTTTCCGCGATACCGTGACAAATTGTGTCACAACACGCGCCCGGATTGTCCGAGGCTTGATTGATGCCGTACCGGATGTGGACTCGGACTTGGCCCGGCTTCCGTTTAGCAGGGGACGGACGTTGACGAGGTGCATTAGATTGCGTGGAAGTTTCCGCCGGTATAGAGATCTTTTCGGCCATGAGGGGTGTTTTTTTCGGGAATTCTTTGGTCGAGGGTTGGTATGATCACTTTGATGTGGCTTTATGCTCGGAGTGAATAATGGTGGATAATGGGATCATTCAGTGTTACGTGAGTAAGGGTTTAAAAGCTGTGTTCGCGGGTGACGGGACAATGCTTGGGTTTCCCGGGAGGTTTCGATGCTTTGTTGTAAGTATTTGTAATATTTCCCCGTGAATTGTAGTTTCCATTGTGTGGACATTTCAATCCTTGTTTACCAGATTTTGTTTGAATGAGGGGATCATTTGATCACACCTCGCGCTAAATCACGATATTGTAAATACCTACTAATCCTAAGTCTCAGGTCAGTTTTTTATATTGCTAATAAAACCCGAAACAATGCTGCCTCGTTAACCACTTAAAAACGTTCCCACACTCTCTCGCAAACTTCCAATCCCCAGGCCCCTCCGCCGATACCTCCCCCGAACCTCCGTTAACGCGGTTTCGCCACTTACAATGAATCGAATCGCTTGATCAGAGAGAAGCCCAGCCGTCATCCGGCGAGATTCTCGCCCGAAAAAACGTACGGAAGGAATTGATAGATCTGTCCCACCCCTGGCGGACGGCGCTCGGCTCTCGGAGAGTGTCGTCCGATAAATCGATCGCATTAAAATCGAGCTGAGGGCCGTCGATCCGGGTAGTCTCCGGCGCGACAGCGTAGTCCCGTAATTCCATTGGCGTGCCTGCAGGCGAGAGATCCTTTGTAATCGATATGGGAAGAAGGGAAAGAGAGAGAGAGAGAGAGAGAGAGAGAAAGCAGAAGAGAGAGTCAGACCATGGAATCGCGGAGGGAGGAGCGCGGGGATGGGAAACAGCGGAGGGAACGGAAGGATGAAGAGGAGAAAAGAAAAAGTGCGTTTTACCGTGACCACCCGGATCGCATTATTCCCTCCTCTTTTCCGATCTCAATTAGTCATTACGTCTCACGGCGCTGCACGGCGTGGCGACGAGATGCCCTCTACCCCTCGTCGCCTTCGGCGTCCGCGCTTCGTCTCTGCATTAATTGCGTCTACGTCGGCTACGACGGCCACCCCTTCTCGGCACCTAACTCCTCGATTCGCCGCCCCCCTAGCTGCCACTAAGGGGTGGTGTTTCGACAGGGATTAGTGTCGACGCCACGAACCGCATAATTCGCCGCCCGCTCGCTCGCACGCCGCTCCCTCGTCCGCCACTCGAGAAAATCGGATCCGCGAGTCGCGCGAGCGAGAATCGCGCCCTCCCAAGACGTTTGTTTACGTGGTAAAATCCGCACGGCGCTGCTTTGTAATGACTGCCAGCCGAGCGTTATGCCCGATAATTCATCGTTACGCGCCCGTTTGTGCGAGAGGCTTCCTATGCAGGCAATTCCGTCGCGATCGGGAAACCGGCGTCGTTCGCTTGGAAGGATGGGGTGGACTTCGGTATGATCGAGACGGTTTTTGATTTTTCATTGTTGGATGCTTGTATTTGAAAAATATTGATCGTATTTATCACGTATGTATGTCACGGTGGAAGATAACTTTGAAAATAATTCTCGAATACGGGACGAAGTTCGCAGCGGTAGCATTAAATATTTCAACCTCCCGAGCGTTCTATTTTACACTCCCTTGCGAATGCGAATGCGTAGTGCTGGGATTCGTTGAAGGCGAGTAGCGAAATAGTCGAACTTCACGAGAGATTAATATACGCGCGTTCTATAAATAACGAGTACTCGCAATTACAAGCAGCCGCGGATTATACTCTAATTATTCCAAACATAACATCGCGAATTTTAACGACGCGTCTCGCGCGAAGACCCTCGACCGTTTAATAAATCTCAGCATTTGGGACTAACCAACTCGAAATCTAACTCTCTGGAAATTAAAACGTGTCGCGTTTCAGACCTAACCTCCCGTACACCTCGATATTCATAACCCCGGGATCCCTCTGTGAAACCTGAGGTCTAGAAAAATCAGACTGAGGAAAAAATGTAGAAGCAAAGGGCAAGCTCTACAGCCGTCACATCTTACCTCGAGAACCAGCATAGATCGCGCGCACGTGTGTTCACGCGGTGGTCGCGCGAGCGTGGCCCAATCCTGACGCACGGTAACACTGCGCCCACTTCACCCTCGCCATATCCAGGCCGCCCAGCCGCCTCCTGCCCCCTTGCTCACCCGCAAAACCGGTGAGAGGCAGTCGCTAATTACGCAACGCGTTCGAGCGTGCACGCTGGGGTGGCGAGGTAGCGCCGTCATGGGCTCGTGTATCCCTCATCCAACCTCCTCGTCGCTCCTTCCGCCCACATCACCCCCCTGCAGCACCTCTCTGTCTTGTTCCCTCTTGCCAGCCGGTTTCTGGTACTTTTACGATTGCCTATAATCACCCGAAGTACGCTGCGATTGCGTTCCGTTCTGCCCTACCTGTTTCCCAGGACCGACCGAGCGCCACCGTTCCCCTCCCGTACCCCTTTGCCAGCGAACTCGTCCCATCCCCGTACAGTAGCTTGGCCGTGCCGACTTAATTTGCAGAATCAACAGCGGAACGTCGCGCGGATAATCCGGCGCATCCGAATTACACGCTCCGCATACTGTCTGGATACGCCGAGGCACCTGCAGATTTAACAGAG